ATCATCATCATCATCATCATCATCATCATCATCATCATCATCATCATCATCATCATCATCAAGGAGAAAGCACTGTAGAATCAAGTTATTTTACTTAGATGTTTAGCAGGTATGGGGGAGTTACCAGGTACCGTGTCAGCTGGGACATCTGGAGAAGGCTTGTACTGTAATTGGCTTCACTGCCCCGACACCTTCCACATATGCCACCAGGAGCCAAAACAGGGAGAGACATCGGGGTAGCAGGTAATTTGTCTGTGGAAGCCTCACAGACTAACTTAACTCAAAGAGGGCAAAGTGTGGCCATCCAGATGTGACGGGATGTCAATTCCCAGCTTTCGTCCTCCTTGGTGAAGGTGGGCGAGACTGGTAGGTGTTTTGATTCAATAATATGTGAAGGGCTGTGCTTGGTCCATCTCGCTCTGTCTTCACTCTGAGCAAGCCAAGGCTGCCATTTTATCTGAACCTTGCAGTGACCAAGACATTGTGAAGTACAGTACAATACAGTAGCAGTAGAAACATCTCAGGTCTAGCACAGGTGGCCCAAGTACAGTAGGACCGAGGTATCTGTGGGGGATTGTTTCAAAGCCCCCGTTGATGCCGAAAAGTCTTTGGCTCCTTCTAGTGGTCAGTTCTGCTAATAAACCTCTGAAACACGTATTTCTGGGTTTTTTGTTTAATATCTTCAAGCAGCTGATAAGTGAAACCATGGCTACGGATCCTGTGAGTACTGCGATCCTACTGTACATGTAACTATGTTCCTTGTAACTAATTATTCAAAGCTTTGTTTTTGTTAAAATTGTTTAAACACAGTTTAAAAAAAGGTAGATAACACCCATGTTGTATGAAGGTGACAATGGTGCTAAATAACAATTTTCTGCCCTTTAATGCATGTGACATTTTTAAATCTAAAGACGCAAACTGAGCAAATATGCTGCCTGTGGTGGTTGCACCATTCTCTCTCTGAAGTGTAGAGCCCGTGCCGATTTTTAGTTTTTCCTTGGGGTGAGGACTGTGGATGGCTTGGAAATGCTCCTTTCACCAGGCTATCAGCATTCAGTTGTGTGTTTTTAAAGTGCAGATAAGACTGACCCCCTCATCTCTGTCCAGAAAAAAAAAACAAAAAACAAAAATGAAACTAGTTCCTGATGCTTTTTGGGGAACCTTGCTCCGTCTTTGGCTCCTTCTAGTGGTCAGTTCTGCTAATAAACCTCTGAAACACGTATTTCTGGGTTTTTTGTTTAATATCTTCAAGCAGCTGATAAGTGAAACCATGGCTACGGATCCTGTGAGTACTGCGATCCTACTGTACATGTAACTATGTTCCTTGTAACTAATTATTCAAAGCTTTGTTTTTGTTAAAATTGTTTAAACACAGTTTAAAAAAAGGTAGATAATACCCATGTTGTATGAAGGTGACAATGGTGCTAAATAACAATTTTCTGCCCTTTAATGCATGTGACATTTTAAAATCTAAAGACGCAAACTGAGCAAATATGCTGCCTGTGGTGGTTGCACCATTCTCTCTCTGAAGTGTAGAGCCCGTGCTGATTTTTAGTTTTTCCTTGGGGTGAGGACTGTGGATGGCTTGGAAATGCTCCTTTCACCAGGCTATCAGCATTCAGTTGTGTGTTTTTAAAGTGCAGATAAGACTGACCCCCTCATCTCTGTCCAGAAAAAAAAAACAAAAAACAAAAATGAAACTAGTTCCTGATGCTTTTTGGGGAACCTTGCTCCTCTTGCCAGGAGGTTTTATCCCTCTTCCAAGACAGTGGCAGCAGGAAGAAATTACCTGGTTATGAGGAAAAGGTGTTTAGCATATCCCCCTCTTTCTTCATCCGAACTCCACTTGAGCCCCACTGAAAAGCCCTGGTGATGCTCGGAGTTTGACAAAGACTTGCTGAGGCTTCCCTTCAACTCAGACAGAAGGACCACTTCCTGCTCTTTTGCAGACTAGTACGTTTAGGATTTGTCTGCCACAGAATGGCACACGGAAGACATACAGTCACTCTGTTTACCTTGTTAGGAACTCAGACGTTCAAGGATAGCTTTATGAGCTTCCAAATATGCATGTTTTATCCCTTAAAACTGCCTTCTTTCCAGTTGGCACAGAGTAACGAGTAACAACACGTGTGATGACTGATCTGGACTGGTGATAATGGGGAGCGGCCATATAGATACAGCAGACGTTCTGATTTTATCTTTTCTAGACCTACATGTAGACTGGCAAGCTTCTTTGAGGCCACTTCCTTTTACTTCTTGAGCCTCCATTCTAGCTGGAACAGCAGACTTGCATACATAGAAGCCAGCCGTAAAGGCATTTGTAATTAAGACTGCAACTACACGGGCCATTTTGAAGCAGGCTGGTGTAATCCAAATCAGTTCACATCCAGATGGCATATGGACCTCAAGTGACCCTATTTAGTCTGCTGTCGGTTTCTTATATCATAAAGTGATAAACAAGCCACTTCAGGATATTGGCAAATTGAATACTTTTCCTGCTCCTCTGTGGAGAGGCAGAGAAATTAAAATGGCCTTCTTCTTCTTTTGCCTCTGCTAGGCCATTGTTGATGTGCTGAATCAGTTAGATTAAATGTTTTAAAAATCTTTTGCCTTGTGTGCAGTGCTGAGAAACTGCCTGCAGTTGTGGTTTTAATACAAAAGCAGAGATTTTAAATATATATATAAATAACTGATTCAGCACATCAGTGATGGTCTAGCAGAGCCAAAAACAAAAAAAGCAAAGCAAGGCAAAAAAAAAAAACACCAAAAAAACACAACACTTCTCCTGACTCTGCGCAAAGGAGCAGAGGAAGTGTTCAGTTGGCTGATATCCTTCATGATACTGGCAACGGAAAGAGAAAGGAGTCTTGGCAGCTTTGATATCCACAAAGCTTGCCTTTGGTTCATTCCCAGAAGATCACACCAGCTGGAAATGGACCAAACCAGAGCATGCCTACCCACACCAAAAAGGCAGAAGCCTCTTCCAGGAGCTTAAAAAAGCAAGGGAAGGAGTGCTCTGGGAATGGAGTGGGTTGCCCTAACAATAAGGTCATCTGATCACTGGCAAAAAAAGAGGAAACCAATTTCCCCTTGCAACACACCAAACAGCAGGACCAATGCCTGTCTGATCAAGCTGTAAATTTAGAGATTCCCCCCCTCCTCCTCCACTATTCCCAATTAATTTCATTAAAGTGATCAGTAATATTTTGTTCTCCAGTTTGCCTTATTATCAGTCTCTAGATGAGATATTTCTCTTCATTATTTATAAGCTGAGTGCCAGGTTCCTGCACACTGCCAGTAAATTACCTCAAAAACCTAATGCCTCTTGCACTTTCTCCTCTGCAGTGATTGTCATGTGTATGCACTCTGTCCTGCTGGGTGGGGAGGAGCAGCGCACCCTACTGGAGAAGGCCGAGGAGCTGCGCATGACAGATGGGACCTACGTTTTCATCCCTTACGATACCCTGACTTACAGCATGCCCTACCAGAAAGAGGCCTATACTATGCTGGACGACAGCATCAAACTGCGGCTGGCCTACGATGCGGTGCTCACCATCACCATTGACTCTCCGGAACGCTCCTTCCGACAGGCCTTCAGGGAGGCTCAGGAAAAAAGGGAAATCCCTGGTCATCTTGATGCTGACAAGGTGAACCACTGAGAAAAAGAAGGAATGGGAGGGGGTGGGTGGAGAGAAGGGAATAAGGACTTCTCCATTCTTCATTGGACTAGGTGTTTGGAAAAAAATATATATTGCACCGGAGGGAGGCGTGATGCTCTCCGAACACTTGGCCTGATAGGCTTTTAATTTTGTCCAAACTTTACACAAAGCACTCAACCCAATCCCCAAAATGAGTTCAGGGCTAAAGTTTTGGATGAAAGTTGAGCTCAAACACCAGAGTGGACTCTCGTTCGTTCGTTCGTTTAGTCGTTTAGTCGTGTCCGACTCTTCGTGACCCCATGGACCAGGGCTAGTGGGCGACTCGGAGCTGAATGCTCCTGCATAGCTAGCAACATAAGGGCCGAAGGAGCGCAGACACTGTCCAGCCATCTCATCCTCTGTCATCCCCTTCTCCTCTTGCCGTCACACTTTCCTAACTCTACCTTTACTAAAACCAGCTAGGGCTAGTGGGCGACTCAGAGCTGAATGCTCCTGCATAGCTAGCAGCATAAGGGCCGAAGGAAATGTGTAGGAGGTCGTGGACTCCCTCCAGTGAAACCCACCCCCCAACAACCCAGAATTTCCTAGAACTATATGCCTCAACAATCTGATTTGCAAAGTCAGCTCACCTTGACCTTCCACTGACCAGTCACAGGACAAACCGTACCAGAGGCAAGATACACAAGGCGGAAAATCCTGTTGGAAGCCAATAATCTCACACCTGTTGAGGAGTCCCTTTTCAAGAAAGCATCAAAAGTATATCTTTTAATTTGATCCACTGTTCAGTTAAGAAAAAAAAGAAAAAGAAAATAGAAGCCGATGTTCTCCATGTGCAGCATTTGCTCAGACAGCAGAATTTGTTGCTGTTTAAACCTCTTTTTCATTTCCCTGACAGGTGCATCCTCTGTTTGGTACCCTTTTCAACTCCATCTACTTCCTCGCCAAAGCCGTGGAGAGCACCCGTAAGGCCGGCAAGTGGGTGATGGGCACCAGCATCGCGGAGAACACCAAAGACTTTGAGCTGGAAGGCTTTAGTCAGCCACTGTCAGCCGATGAATATGGAGATGCCTCGGTCCCCTATGTCATCTTGGACTCGGACGGCAAGGGCAACCGCCTCTGGCCTACCTATAGGGTGGACATTGCCGCCGGCACCTTACGCTATGCTGGGCACTCTGTCCATTGGCCGCACAGTTCCACTCCCGATTCAGACTCCAGCTGCTGGTTTGACTCCGTCACCATCTGCACTGGGGGTGAGAGCTGAAGGGAGGCGCAAGGTCTCCTCGTAGAGATGCACAAGACTGGCATGGATGGGTGGGGTGGAGTGGGGGGGCTTTTTGCTTGGAGCCACGGATGCACAAGACTGGCATGGATGGGTGGGGCGGGGGGGCTTTTTGCTCGGAGCCACATGCATCATCTCAGCTTGCTTGGAGAAGTAAAATTCTCCGTTGTGACGCTCTTCTCCTTTTCTCCTGCAGGGGTAGGCGCTGGTTTTGTCATCTTCCTTTTCCTTCTGGTGATCCTCTTGGCTGCAGGTGGAGCCGCTCTTGCATATTATCTTAGGTGAGTGTCCTGAACCTCTCTTGTGACCGGGCCAGCAGAGAATAGTTACTGAATATCTGCTTTGGGGATTGGGAACTTTTCTGCTCCGACTTCATGATGGTGATGGTGGACCCTTTGGTGTTTTCCAGTGGTTTCTGAACTTTCTGTTCTGTTTGTTTTGATTCCTGCAGGCGTAAGTTTCAGCATGCCCAACTGATGAAAGGGCCCAATAAAATCGTTCTGACCATGGATGACTTGACCTTCATTAACACTGGAAGCAGCAAGAAGGTGAGTGGGTGGCAGGGGCTTCAAAGCAAAGGTCTTTGGAGGGAAAAGAAAATTTTCCTTTCGTTTCTCCATCTTGAATTGATTGCTAATTGCTGTAAATTGTTGTAAATTTTTTATTATATATCAATTGTTCTTCTTCGTGGTCTCTGTGAAATCACACTAATGGGTTAATCTGCGCTTGCGCAGAAGGCCTCGGAACATTCTAGAGCTTAAAGTAACACTTTTGGCTCCGCCCCCCAGGACCTCATGGTCCGCCCGCCCTAACAGCCATTCAGTTCCATTTTTTCCGCTGCTGCAGTTAGGTCTCCTAGCTAGAGCTCCGTGAAAGATTTGGAAGGATTTGAAGATTCCTACATTTGGCTCCATTATTTCTCTCGTCAAGGGAAGTACTTACTTTATTTCTTTATTAGGGGAGTTTCTGGACTGTGTTTGAGGGGTTTTCCCCTCTCTCCCCTACCCTTTCCCCCCTTATTTTCTTGGACTCTTTTTCCCGCCTTTTTTCTTTTATGGCCTCCAAGGCACCTTCTTCACTGAAAGTTACTTTTAAAAGCTGTGCCGCCTGTTCTAAAAAGATCCCTTCGACAGACGGACATCGTTATTGTTTATTTTGTCTTGTGTGTGTGTGTTTAGTCGTTTAGTCGTGTCCGACTCTTCGTGACCCCATGGACCAGAGCACGCCAGGCCCTCCTGTCTTCTACTGCCTCCCGGAGTTGTGTCAGGTTCATGTTGGTTGCTTCGCAGACACTGTCCAGCCATCTCATCCTCGGTCGTCCCCTTCTCCTCTTGCCATCACACTTTTTTGGGGAGTCTCATATCCCTCAAACCTGTCGCCATTGCGAAAGGTTTACTCGCCAAGGCTTGAGACTTAGAGAACAACGTCTTCGGGCAGCGCTTTGGGAAAAATCCCTCACCGCACCTGCTATGGCGGCGACCTCTGCGCCTGCAGATTCGGGTCCTGCACCCGGCCCTAAGACTAGAGGCAATGGCAAGCTGACTACGTCTACCAAGAAGGCTCCAAAAAAACCCAAGCCTCCTAAGAGTCAAGCCACGGCCGCCATTCCTCCCCCGCCTTCTCCTGCGGCCACGCCTCAACTCCAACCGTCGCCCTCCTTGCCTGCTCTTACCCCGCAATCTCCTATTGAAATTCCGTTGCAGGCTTCGTCGCCAGCTTCTTCCCCACCTTCATTACTACCGCCTGTCGATACGCCGGACATACCTCTCTTCTCATCCCCTCAGAGGAAGAGAAAGGCTAAAACGAGGCATTTGGAAACAGCCTCTGGAGATTCCCGGTCTCCGAGCCCCTCGGGACCGAAGGTCTCCCCCCACGGGGCTCGACATGTTTGCCCCAAGAAGCCTAAGAGGCATGGGACTATGGAGGACAGAGCCGCTCCGCTCAAACTCTCTAAGGGTTATTTAAAGAAATGGCGGAAACAGATGCAAAAGCTCTATGACCTGCGGCTTCTATACAGCCTCGCTGGGCGGAGTTCTTCGTCCTCCTCCTCCTCCTCTTCATCGGTCTCCTCCGATTTTTCGGTACTGTCGGTACCGTCACCCCGCGATACCGAGAGGGGCAGACACCGACACACCCGGTCGGTACCGTCGTTTCCCGATACCGGAGTGAAAGGTTCTCGGTCGGTACCGGACGAACCTTCACCCATAAGGAAGGCAGAGCAGCGGGCCACTGCCGCGGACCGTGCCGGATTAAGTTCTCAAGTCAAGACCCCACTGTATTCTGTGTTATAATTGCTCCTGTTGCCCATTTCTATTTAGCAAGAAACATACAAAAGCCAGCTGTCATTGTTTTCCATTGTGCAAATTAACCATCTAATAGCCTAGTGTTATAAAGTCCACCACACATCCTACATTGCTCACTGAAGAAAGGTACAGGCCAGGAATCGCCCAGTCTAAGTTCCGGCCTGCATCAGCCGCATCCCCTAATAACAAGGATGGGAGGAAAATGGACATATTTGGCCGGCGTTCATATGCCTTTTCATCCTTAATTGTGAGAGCTGCTAATTATGTGGCCGCCATGGCGGCGTACCACCAGCACTTATGGGATCTGGCTTTACCATCCTTACAAGCTGCACCTGATGAGTTGCAACCTAGGGGTCTCTCTCTGCATAAGGAGGCCTCACAACTCATTCGTCAGGAACGGGTCACGGTCCGTCATATTTTGGATGCTGCCTCCCGTAATCTAATGACGGGTGTCGCCATGAGGAGGCAAGCGTGGCTTAAATCTGCGGCTATTCCTGAGGATTCTAAGGCCCGTATCCTGGACCTCCCCTTTGACGGTTTGGGTCTTTTTGATCCCAAGACGGACGAGATTCTGAAAGGTCTCCATGAGGCTAAAAAGGCTGCCAGATCCTATGTCACTCAACCGTTCTACAAACAACGCTACTCGTGGAAGCGCCCATCCTTCTACCCACCTACACAACCAGGGAGACCCTATCCCTCCAAACAGAGGTATTCTCCCTCTTCTGGCTACACCACTAGACATGACCAACGACACAAGATACGTTCTTCCTTTAAAAAGGTCGACCGTAAGAACAAGCAGGGCCTTTGACTGCTCTACAGTCATTTCCTTTCCTTCCTGCGCCACCCGCTTGTCTCCTTTCCTCTCCAGTTGGTCCATCATCACTTCAGACAAGTGGGTTCTTTCTATCATCGCTCACGGTTATGCGATAGAATTTTTAGAGACGCCTCCCTCCCGTCTGGTCCTCACCCCTCCATCCGACCCTCTAAAGCAAGAGGTAGCCACCCTGTTGCGAAAGCATGCAATAACCAGGGTATTCCCAAATCCTGCCAATCCTGTTTTTTTCTCCAGGTATTTTCTAGTGCCAAAGAGGGACGACTCCTTTCGTCCTATTCTAGACCTCCGGCGTCTCAACAAGTTCATCGTCTACCGCCGTTTCCGGATGGTAACCTTGGAGAGAATTCTACCCCTCCTGCAACAAGGCGACTGGTTCGTGGCCATAGACCTCAGTGATGCCTATTTCCACATAAACATAAGGCACGACCATCGTCGCTTCCTGCGGTTTTCGCTGGGATCAAAGTGCTACGAATTCTCCGCTCTGCCTTTTGGACTTTCCACCGCGCCCAGAGTCTTTACGAAATGTATGGCCCCGGTGGCAGCTTTCCTCAGAACCAGGGGCATAGCCGTCTTTCCATACATAGACGACTGGTTACTGGTTGCACACTCCAAGCTTCAGGCAGAGCGTCACACTCTTACCGTCCTCCGCCTCCTCAAGACTCTTGGACTGCAGGTAAACTACAAGAAGTCTGTCCTTGTCCCCTCGCCGGTGGCTGCCTACATAGGCGCCACTCTCGACGCTCGGACCGGCCGGGCATTCATGCCTCTAGAGAGAGCGCGGAAGATGGCTGTTCTCATCAAGAAATTCCGCCCTCTTCATCATGTCACCGCTCACACTGCTCAGAGGCTGTTGGGCCTTATGGCCTCCACCACTTCAGTCATCCCTCATGCGAGACTGAAACTTCGTTCGCTGCAAGTATGGCTCCTGTCACTCTTCAATCCTCTCTGGGACTTCCCCAAAAAGAGACTCTTGGTGTCGAAGGAGTTGTCGGAGCAGCTGAAGTGGTGGCTCAACCCAGGCAATCTGTTTATGGGACGTCCTTTTGCTCCCATTGCCCTACGAACTCGCATCACGACGGATGCCAGCGACATCGGCTGGGGTGCCTATTGTTGCGGTCTGCAGGTCCACGATCGATGGTCTCCAAAGGAGCTTGCCCTGCACATCAACAATCGAGAACTTCTAGCCATCTTCAAGGCCTGCCGGGCGTTTCTGCCCATGATCAAGGGCACAGCCCTTCAAGTAGTCTCGGACAACACGACGGCTGTTGCGTATGTCAACAAACAGGGAGGTACTCACTCTTTCTCCCTCCTGTACCTTGCTGTCCAACTATGGGAGTGGTGTCTCCAACATCATGTCTTTCCATCCGCTGTATACATTTCCACTCACGACAACATACTTGCGGATCGGCTCAGCAGGACTACTGTTACCATGCACGAATGGGTGCTGGACCAGGCAGTGTTCCTGACCCTCTGCGAGCGATGGGGAACCCCTATGGTGGATGCTTTCGCAACTCACCTCAACACCAAATGCCCCATCTTCCTCTCCAGGGGCAGCCACGGCCCGAACTCGCACGGCGACGCTCTGATGGTAAAGTGGAGCAACCTCTTTCTCTACATGTTTCCACCGTTTCCCCTCCTATTGAGAACACTGGTGAAGGTTTGCGACGACAATGCGGACGTCATTCTGATTGCTCCATTCTGGCCGCGCCAACCGTGGTTCGCGAGGCTCATCTCGAGGGCGACGGAGTACGTCAAGCTACCCTACCTTCCTCATCTGCTGACCCAGAACGAGGGAACAGTTTACCACCCGGATCTCCAGTCTCTCCACCTCACCGCCTGGAGGATAGTCCCACGGTAGCTCACGTCCTCGCCCATTGTCGTAAACTTTCCACTGACACTCTATACGAGAGTAAGTGGAAGGCCTTCGTGAAGTTTACCACTTCTCATCGACTACCCGCGTCGCCTACTACACTCCATACTGTTCTACAGTTTCTAGCTTACCTTTTCCAGATGAACCTTTCTCATTCGACTCTCAAAGTTTACCTCTCCGCCATCGTAGCCCATCAGCCACCTGAGGCGGACAGTGCTCTTCTATTCAGACATACGAAGATAAAACGTTTCCTGCGAGGGGTTGTACGTCTTCGTCCACCTACAATCAATCCTGTTCCTCAGTGGTCCCTTCATACAGTCTTAAACTGTCTCTCAAAACCACCATTTGAACCACTCGCTACGGTTTCGGAGCGCCTCCTTACCCTTAAGGTGGTTTTCTTGGTTGCTATTACATCGGCCAGAAGGGCCTCAGAGTTGGCTGCCCTGAGGACCGATCCACCTTTCCTACAATTTTTCCGAGACAAGGTGGTCTTGTACCCTGATGTGTCCTTTTTACCCAAGGTTACAATGGACTTTCATGTTAAACAGCCTATAGTCTTACCAACCTTCTTTCCCCAACCTTCGAGTCAGCCACTGTCAGCCGATGAATATGGAGATGCCTCGGTCCCCTATGTCATCTTGGACTCGGACGGCAAGGGCAACCGCCTCTGGCCTACCTATAGGGTGGACATTGCCGCCGGCACCTTACGCTATGCTGGGCACTCTGTCCATTGGCCGCACAGTTCCACTCCCGATTCAGACTCCAGCTGCTGGTTTGACTCCGTCACCATCTGCACTGGGGGTGAGAGCTGAAGGGAGGCACAAGGTCTCCTCGTAGAGATGCACAAGACTGGCATGGATGGGTGGGGCGGGGGGGCTTTTTGCTCGGAGCCACATGCATCATCTCAGCTTGCTTGGAGAAGTAAAATTCTCTGTTGTGACGCTCTTCTCCTTTTCTCCTGCAGGGGTAGGCGCTGGTTTTGTTATCTTCCTTTTCCTTCTGGTGATCCTCTTGGCTGCCGGTGGAGCTGCTCTTGCTTATTATCTTAGGTGAGTGTCCTGAACCTCTCTTGTGACCGGGCCAGCAGAGAATAGCTACTGAATAGCTGTTTTGGGGATTGGGAACTTTTCTGCTCCGACTTCATGATGGTGATGGTGGACCCTTTAGTGTTTTCCAGTGGTTTCTGAACTTTCTGCTCTGTTTGTTTTGATTCCTGCAGGCGTAAGTTTCAGCATGCCCAACTGATGAAAGGGCCCAATAAAATCGTTCTGACCATGGATGACTTGACCTTCATTAACACTGGAAGCAGCAAGAAGGTGAGTGGGTGGCAGGGGCTTCAAAGCAAAGGTCTTTGGAGGGAAAAGAAAATTTTCCTTTTGTTTCTCCATCTTGAATGATTGCTAATTGCTGTAAATTGTTGTAATTTTTTAAATTATATATCAATTGTTTTATACTTTGCTTGTTGTGAGCCGCACAAAGTAGACAATGTCTAGATGGGCAGCATATAAGTCCAATAAATAAAATAAAATAAAATAAATAACGTTAATAAAGAAGGAGGCTTGCAACGTAGACTCAAAGCTTGGAAACCTTAGCGTTGAAGTTACTTAAGTAAACATGAAATAGGCAAAGTGCGATTTATGAATCATGAAGAAATCTATTTCATTCATGGGTTTGTTAGTTAATTTGTCATTTTAAAAATAACAATATATGTTCTCTGTATTTTGTCATGTGCCTGATTGCTCATCCAATTGTGCCACTGGGGTACACCCCAGCATCTTGTCAATTATCTGTAATTAACTGCAGCAAGTTATAGAGACTTTACACAAGGCACTGGGGTGTATCTCAGCAGCAATAGGATTGTGGCTACTGACTTAAATGGCACATAAGAAATGTGAGCAATTAGAGCAATTAGTTGTTACTAGAAAGTGGCATACATAAGTTAGAACAACGAACTTCAAAATCACTGCTGAAAATTAGTGAATTGGGGTAATAAATTAAATTTTAACTTATAATTTTCAAGCTATGGTAGGAGCATTTCAAGATCAGAAATTAGGAGAAAGAGAAAGACCACAATCAAGGGCATATATCAGTGAAGTGAAGGTTGGAGGGTAAAAAGGGCACTATACGTAGGATTGAGTGTGGGCTGCCATCCAACACTTGTATGTGGGCAATGGCCGGATTAAAACTGAATGCCGGAGTACCTTGTTTATTAAGAAGCTGTGCTTGAGTTCATTATAATCTCCCTGCCTGCTCCCCCAGAGGATGAACGAAAGCCGCCCCAGTCTTCTAGGAAAGAGCGTATCTGACATGAAGAGCCTCAAAAGCGTGGCAGCTCATCCAGAAAATACAAACGTCGCTGTGGTAGAGGTAAGCGCATGTCCCTCCTTGCAGTGGGTGTCATCCCTTCTCCCCATTTTTTCCTGATCAATAGATGGGGTGCAAGCGAGGAGGGGGACGGAAGATCCTCTACAGCTGGTGCCGTTTCAAGCTGCCCCTAAGGCACTGGCTGCCTTCCTGCTCAGTGGTCTTTCTCGGGTGAGAAGTGGCCCTGCCACATAAGTTGGGGTGTGGGGTTTGCTGGGAACCATGCACAGGTGTGGGGCTTGCAAGATTTGATAGCAAAATCAAGCCAGCATCTCTCACTCATAGTGAACTGTTGTATCTCAGACACAGGCTCTTTCAGTGGGTTCATACTGCTTTTTCCCCATCTGACTGTGCTTCTGTCTTCATCGTTATACACTACAGTAGTGTCTTTATTTTATCTCGTTTATTTATTTTATATGTGATATTTCCACTTAATTTCATGCTGTCAAGTCAATTCTGATTTACAGTGACCCTTTCCAGGTTTTTCTGGGTGGAGAGTCCTCAGAAGTGGTTTTTCCCATCCCCGTCTTCCTGGGTTGCCCTGGGACTACTGTGCCACTCGCCCAAGGCCACCCAGGCTGGCTGTACTTTGCAGGAGGCACAGCGGGGAACCGAACTCCCAAACTCTGGCTCTGCCACTAAGCCACTGACTTATCCTGCCAGCCAACAATACTTCCATACCACTGGGTATCATAAATCCTCTAGGCAGTTTCTAATTCAATATGAAAGCAATGTTCTCAAGCCTTTGTCTGCCTTTCCCACTGCATTTGCTGACTGTCCTGGTGGGCACCGTTTTGCATGATTCACTAGCATCCAGTTGCCATTTTCTTAGCAGCAGAGAGAGATCTTAATTGTGCAGGGAGCAGACCCACAACTGCCATCTGTAAGCGGTGCCCTCACCAATCTCACAGCCCCCGTCACTATTTTTTTTTTATGTGGCTCTGCTTGCCGGGATATCTTGCTGCTCCCTAGAGATTTATCCTGCTCCCCTTCCCCACTCCATCTTGTCTTCCTGTACCGTAATGGTCAGGAAGCGATCTGATCACCAAGTCCCCTAATCCTTCCTAACCCCTGGTACTGAAACAGTCCTTTCTCTGGCACCTCCTCTCTAGAAGCCACAGGAGCAGCCACGCCAACGGTGGCCACTGGACTGCATCCAGAATGCCACCCAACCAGTCTGTGGCCGTTTGTCCTTCTCTAGCCACGGCTTTTTCCAAGCGCCGGCGTCTCTGTCCTTTTCTATTGGTGACAGTTCTGCCATGGGGGCTGCAGGGCTCGACCCCAACCTCTGGGGCTGACTATTAAACAAAACAAACCAAGACTGACCCCCCGTCTCCTGGTGTGACCCCTCTAGGGTGGCTACACAGGGACAAGAAGGGGTTCTGACGTCTGTGCTCTCCTCCTCTCCCATCCTGGAAGGTTTTAGTGCAAGGCATCTTACCAGATCCTTGCCAAGCTGGGCATGGCACAATCCTGGCATTCTCAGCCATGCCACCACATCCTCCTTCACTCTCCCCCTCACCCCGCCACTCAACCACTTCTCTCTCTCTCTCTCTCTCTCTCTCTCTCTCTCTCTCTCTCCCTCCTGAGGCTGCTGAGACGTTTCCATGTCTAATTTCCAGCCTTTAGGCAAAGACATGGGGGGGGGACTCAGGCCCACCTAAGAAGCCCTTTGCCCTCCCTTCTGATGTCTGTATCGGACGGAAGGGAGGTCTGGGCAAGCTACGTGCCCTTGTTCAGAGGCACTGAGCTGGCGTGCTCCTGAGACAGGATCTTAGGGCTCTACTGTACCTTGGTGAGACTGAGGGAGCTTTAGCCCTTTCCCCTTTCCCCTAATTCACACCAGAGCTTTGGGAAAGTTCCTTTTCAGAGTACAGTTCCCAGAATGGGAACTCAAGACAATGACTTTTCCAAACTCTGGTTGACTTTCCTGTTGTTCTCCCTTGCCCATCCTCTTCCATCAGCATCACTTTTTTTTTGACCTCCTGCTTCCTGCTGTCCTTTAGGGTGATGACAAGCAAAAAGCCAGCAGCCATCTCCCCTTGCTTCTCCTTTTGTTTAACAGCCAAGGCCTAATAGCTGCGCTCCAGGTAAGTCCCGTTCCGCAAAAGGCCGTTTTTTAGCTGTGCCTTTTGCCAGTGCCCTCTGCCTTTCCGTTTGGTCTCTTTTTCCCTTAAAAGTTTGCTGCTCGTCTTCCTTCTCTTGGCTCTTTTTATTTTTATTTTTCTCATGCATTTTTCTGTGTTAAGCCTCCTGTTTGGTTTTGCTCCTCTCGAAATGAAAGGAGTTAAAATGTTAGCTATGGCACTTGTTTTTGTTTTGTTTTTAAATCCTTTTCTGCTTCTTGACTGCAATTCCTCTGCTGTGGAAGAGGCTGAGATTTCAGTCAAGACTAAGAACAGGAGGTGGAATCTTGGTTCGTTAAGTACTGAATAAAAAGTCGCCTGGGGTTGAGTTTAGAATTTGTCAAAAAAAAGTTATGGGAGTTTAATCCCATGTTTTTGGTCCAATCACATGGCAGGTTGAAGCTATGACTCTTGGTCTGCCCCATTCAGTGCACATGAGCATATTCTTAAGAGTGCTCTTTGTCCTCAACCAAGACTGATCAATCTAATGAAGTTTGATCAGTTAAATCGGCACAAATGTGCGTATATGAAAAGAGTAGACTTAGATGAATTTAGGCCCTGAACCTTCTATCATTTCAAATCACTCATTCATTCTGCAGTCCTGGCTTTGCTTCATTCACACCGCCTGGTTGGCAACAATGGGTCCTTTAATCCTTGAAGGCCACCCAAACTGGGAAGGCTACCCTCAAAACCCTCCCAATCTAAACCTGTTTCCTGCATCTTGTTTTTAATCCTGCCCTGGCGGAGGAATGGCTGCATTTCAGCGAATACCTTGGCCGCTAATCGGCTGCAGAGAGATATAATAAGAAACAACAGCTTGCAGTTAAAATTGGCCGCCTTGAAGGGATAAGCTTGTGATAAATGAAGCTGGAGAATGTGAGCGTGCGCGAGGGAATTAATCACCCTCTGGATTCTTCGACCGGAGATGGTGGACTGTAGCAGCCATGTCAAGATACAAAATATCTTAGCTTAACCGATTAATAAATAAACAATATAAATAAATAAACAAACATGTTCTATTAAGGCATGTCTTCTCTATACCTGTTTGATCTTTTCCCCCCTCAGAAGCAGGCCTGATCATTTATTTTCTGTCTTCTCCTGACCAGCCTCAAATGCCTGGGCTTCTTTCCCATAAAATAATGGGCTCCATTGACCCTGAAAAATTAAACAACATATACAGTGAAGTTTATAATGTGTTTTATCAGCCGGGCATATCCCTGCTATTCCTTAGAAAAACAGTGGTTGTAATGGACTTTGCTTCACGCATGGTGGCTAGGGATGATGGACTAATACTGTGCAGCATTTCTGGAAACTTCCCTCAAGAGAGATGTGTGTCCCAAGAAAGGAAATACTCACCCTGGTCATGGCAAATTTGGTCTCTCTGCCTTGGAATCTGTGATGGCTAATTGGGGTGGTGGAGAGAGACAATAGGGTAGGAATGGGGTGACCGGCAAAGCAACAGGTGGTTTGATAAGTACCCAAACATATGCCATAGCAACCTTAGAAACACTGTGCCTTTCTCTTTTATCTACTTTTATTCCCCTTTCCACCCCTTGCTGTCAACAAAGAGAGGAAGCAATGGGTAGAACACAATTCACGGAACCTGGAGTGACTACGTTTTGGTGTGCAGTTTTCAGTCTCCCACCAGCTTCCTCCAGGCTGGCTGGAAAGAAATGTAACTTCTTCAACTTCCGCGATTAGACCTGTTGAGATGGATCTCCAGGCCGAGAAGAACCAGAGCTGCTTTGAATTTCTTCCCAGTGCTGGGACGTCCTGCGGGTCATTGGGCTGGTGGAGGGGAGGGGGGACCCAGGCATTAGATGCCCTCCAACTCCACTCCTGTCTATTCATTCATTGTATGTCGTTTCCTTTTCTGAATGGACTTATGTGTGTGGAGAAGGGGCTTCTCAGGTGATCTCCCCTCCAGGTAATAGTCAGCCCAAGACTTTCTTGGCTTTAGAGGGTAACCGGTGCTTTCCCTTATTGGTAACTCTTGCATCTTCTGAGCAAAATCAGTGGTTGGTGAGCTAGTGAGGGAAGAAAATGAAATAGGGGTAGAGAGTGGGAATGCAATGCACATTTGGCTTGGCTGATTAATGCAGATATAAAAGACTGCAAACGATCAGCGGCTAGCATTGAGACTAGGCTAACATTTCCTGCTTGGTCCACAGCAGGTTCTAATATAGGCTTGTACAACTCTTTCTCCTACATTCCTGTATTATGGAGGATGGGACTTGGTGCACTTTTTCTTTCTCTGGGGATCCGTCTATATAAGACTCTGAGCTTCTAGATGGAAGCTAGTAGCACAGTTTGGTCTCCAGTGGTGCAATAACCTGAGAGCTACCTTCTGGAGCTGTCGGCCATGCAAATGAAGCTTGTATTTACCTTGCAATGACCAATCAGAAACCAAGCAAGCAAATCTGCATAATGCAGAGATGAGAAGGACATGTTAGGACAAATAGATGCCTTTTCACTTAAGGGAGTTCTGCTTCTAAACATCTTGTATATTTTGGCCACAGGAGATGGGTGCATGCGAGGGAAACTATAAAAATGATAGGAGAGGTTCCCTTCAAATGTTTCTGCCTTTTAAAGATGGCACATTAGGTACCATGTGCTGGTGCTGAAGTGGTTCTTAATGAGCTGCCTGATAACTAAATGCCCATTGTAGCTCATAATAAGCAATGAATTCCAGTAATACAGTATTTAAACAAAATGTCTGATAAAATGTCCATAATATAATGGGCTGTTGATTTATTAGCACTGAATAATTAAATAACATGTACTATTACTAATGTTCTTGTATTCTCAGGTTCTTTGAGAAGGGTACCAAGTATTTTGATCAATATTTTTAAAATCAGCCATATGTGGCTTGACGGGAGATAAGATATGGTACAAGATGACTCTGCTGTCTACATCCCAGACATGATTCCATTTCATTCCTTCTGCTCTGCCACCCTGTAGCTGCTGGCAGAATACCTCTGTGGGCAGAGTGCTGTCCTCGTCTTAAGACGGTAGCGCTTGTGGCATTCTGCTGAAGTGGAAAGGCCTTGGCCAAATATTACAGGGCCTCTGCACTAGCTTAACTCCAGTTCAGGGCTGAATTCTAAAAGATTGCAAGAAGACAAAAGTGCCAGGTGAACGCCCCTCAGGGGGATATTTCATAGCTAGGATATCACCAGTGAAAATGGCCCCTTATCTTTTAGCCACACATCCTACTTTATGTGTGGTTTGGTGCAGTGAGTCAGAGACAGGCTTTTTGGGGGAGATTTCTAATATTTGGATAGGTGCATGCGGAGAAAGTTACCGTGGTTCCAACTGCTGAAGGTCTTGAAAACATATCAAAGTTCCTTCTTCTTTCCTTCTAACATGCTTCCTTCCCTCCCTTCCTGTCATGGATTAAGAGATTCCTCTGTGCTTGGTTTTCTCAATGTCAGTAGGTCCCTTCCTAGCCTCTGCAGGGTTGCGGGTTGTTAATTTATTGTTTCATTTTCAAATCCTCTCACTTACTTAAAAAAAGGAAATCAACTTGCCTTCTCGCTTCCCTTCTGTGCGTCTTTCAGGGTGTGGGTTTGTGTTTTGCTTCATAGTTTTGCTTTGGCTTTTGCATTGCAGGTGGGGAAACAGGATCATCTCTTACGCCTCCCTTTTTCTTTCTAGGGAGACTGGGTGTGGCTGAAGAAATTCCCAGGGGAAAAGCACACTGAAATCAAACCTGCCACTAAAACGGCATTTTGCAAGGTGAGAGCACTGCTTTTTCCATTGCAGTCGAGAAACACTGTGGCTACTAGGACTGAATACAGCACCATTTGCTGGAACTTCCACCAACAGCGCCTCGGCTCTGTGGCTTTCTGCCCACCTCCCTCTGTTTCCTCTTGCTTTAGCTCCGGGATCTGCGACATGAAAACGTGAACCTTTTCCTGGGCTTCTTCCATGACTGTGGGATCTTTGCCATCGTCTCAGAGCACTGCACCCGTGGGAGCCTTGAGGATCTCATCCACAATGAGGACATGAAGTTGGATTGGATGTTCAAGTCATCGTTGTTGCTGGATCTTATAAAGGTGTCCGAAAGGAAGGGATCTTGTGAATGTTTTTAGAAATGTCACATAGGAGCACAGGGAATTCACTCCTCTGATGAAGAACACAAAGGATGTTACTTAAGATGCAGAACTTGGAAATGTTGTTTTTGGTTTTTTTGGAACGTAACATCTAGAATCCTTCAGTCCATGTTGCTAATGACCAGGCACACTGGCAATTCTGAGAGTCCTAGTCCAAAATATTAAATTCTTCAAACTATGTGTTAAGAATACCACTCATCTGGCCTATAAGGCATACAATATTCTCTTTCCTAATGTAGACAGCCAGATGCCTCTGGCAGGGCTTTTTGTGTTGCAAACAGCATTCATTCCATGTTAATGACTGCTAGCAGCAGATGGTGTCACAGAAAGAGGGCACAAGCCTTTTATTTATCTTTTCTTTAGTGTGGTATTTGCTTGATCCTTTTAAGTATTTGTATACTTCTTTTTTTTAAGCTTCAGATATTGTCTTTTAGTGTTGTAAGCCACCTGGGGTACTTTTTTAAGGAGAACTGGTGGAGTAAAAATATATTAAATAAATAAATAAGTCTCCTATAAAACAAAGTGTTTCTAACAGCAGCAGCAACACTACATTGTTTGTACACTGCAAGGTTTTTTTTAAATATCAGAAATGACCTTCTGGTCATTTGTTGTTTTGTGGGAAGAGCTGATGTGCCTTGTTGGGGGTTGGAGAGGGTGGGAAATGGCCATTGGGCCTCCTGAAGTTGGTGATCTGTAGACGATACACCAGAGATAGACAGAGAGAAGAAATAATGTGTGTGTCATAGTGATGTCAGGGAACAGGTCAGAGTAAGAGTGTTGGACTGAATGCAGACCCTCCTCCTCCTCCTTCTCTTCTAGGGGGTGAAATATCTACACCTTCATAATTTTCCACACGGGCGGCTGAAGTCTCGGAACTGTGTGGTGGACGGCCGCTTTGTCCTCAAAGTCACGGATCATGGATATAATGAGCTGTTGGAGGCCCAGAAGGTCGCAAGAGAACCACAGAAGCCTGAAGGTCAGCAGGGAATGTCTGTGAAGGGAGAGGATGATAGTTTGGCAGTTTGGTTGTCAGGGGTGGTAGACGGAGAAGCATCACATCGACTTCCTGATGGAGATGTTCGACAAGATTTGGCTTCTGACGCTACTTTTCCACAAGGGCCTAGTTGTTCAATAAAGACCAGCAATACAGTCCCCAAGACCGATTTTGACAGAAGCAGCTAATAGAGTTGCCAGCCAGGATATTATAGATAATGCAAGAGACAGACTGTAATTGTGCTTCCCTTTTTTTCTTGAATGAAGCAGAACCTTCTGTCAGGTAGGAATATGAAGAAGACAGTTGTCTTGGGTATTGACAAGAAGCGGTTGGCCATGAGTAGACATTAACAATCTCCTGGTTCCAGATCTGCCCCCCTGCCATCCTCTAGACCAGGGGTCTCCAAACTTTTCAACATGAAGGCTGAAAATACTTTACACATTTTCGAAGGCCAAAGGAGGGAAGGGAGACCCAAGCGATCCCCCCACCCCTGCTGTCTTTGCAAAGACAGTGCTCGGGTCCCCCTTCCCTCCTCTTCCTATGCTGGGGACAGATAAAAAGGCAAGGTGGGCCATAGTTTGGAGACCCCCCACTCTAGACACTAGAGAGAACCGTTTCAAAGCAGGACAGTGAATGATATCTTCCTGGGGAGGCAAGGAGAATTTCCATAAAAGTCTGAGAGGCCTAAAAAGATGAGAGGTAGGTACCCAAAAGGAAGGGACAGGAGAAGTGGATGGATATTTGTTGCATCTTTTTCCTTTTCCGCATCCAGAGCGACTGTGGACCGCACCAGAGCTGTTGCGGGACCCAGCACAGGAACGAAAAGGCACTATTCGTGGAGATGTGTACAGTATCTCCATCATTATGCAGGAAGTTATATGCCGGGCACCTCCCTTCTGTATGCTGGATATGAGTCCTGAAGGTAAAAAAGGGAGCAGAAATGAATGTCAGGAAAACACACGGGCTTCCACATAAGAGGGCATCTGTCTTTCCTCTGCTTTTGTCCCCCTCTCACATCGCAAGTCGCAATTGATTGGGGCAGGGAGAATGTAGTTGCCAACCAGGGTAAGCAAAGCGGCCCCCCATGCAGGAGCTGTGAAGGAACAAGGGGGGTGTGTGAGTAGAAGTGGCTATGGGTCTTATCTGGAATTTGTTATTGTTCGATAAGTTGGCTCAAACATGGTGGGAGCTCACAAAGGCTCCAGGGTGTTTGGTGGAGCTGGGCTTATTGTCACTTTCCACAGTATATAAGATTGGATGTGACTGTTCAGAGCAGCAATGGGTTGTTTTAGTCCTTTATAACCCTGTAGGGACGTGGTGGCGCTGCGGGCTAAACCGCAGAAGCCTGTGCTGCAGTCGTAAGATCGAATCCACGCAATGGAGTGAGCTCTCGTCGCTTGTCCCAGCTCCCGCCAACCTAGCGGTTCGAAAGCATGCAAATGCAAGTAGATAAATAGGGACCACCTCGGTGGGAAGGTAACAGCGTTCCGTGTCTAAGTCGCACTGGCCATGTAACCACGGAAGATTGTCTTCAGACAAAACGGTGGCTCTATGGCTTGGAAACGGGGATGAGCACCGCCCCGTAGAGTCGAACACGACTGACTAAATGTCAAGGGGAACCTTTACCTTTACCTTTTTAACCCTGTTACACTGTCCTTCATCTTATGATGTAAGGTGGAATAGGAAATCCTAGCACAATATAAAGTGGTAACATCAGCATCAATAACAGCAATAACAGGCAGGCCAAACATAAGATGGCAATCTCACCTGAAACAGCTTAAAATAAGCCAGTTTACAATGCCTGCACAAATAAGATTTGATTTGTCACTGACAATATAATATGTCACTGCTAGTCACACTTTCATGGGGATGGTGTTCCGCCCATAAGCCGGAGGTCACAAAAGAAAGAACCAGTTTCTTCTTTCTTTCTTGTATCATAAAGTACCAATGTTTCTTAGACAGGAGCCTCTCATAATGAAATTTATTGGGGAAGCCTCGGCTAGTCAAAGTTTCTAAAAGGACTTGCATGGTTACAATGTGAAACAGGGTAGCAATGGCATTTTTGCGTAATACGAGGTACAGTACCTTGAACATGGAGAGGGGAGGAATGAGCTTGATTGGAACAGAAGTGAAACATGGTCTTTGTCCAACAGAGATCATCCAGAAAGTGGAGAAGCCGCCACCGCTCTGCCGGCCCTCTGTCTCTATAGACCAAGCTCCGATGGAGTGTATTCAGCTGATGAAACAGTGCTGGAGTGAGCAACCTGAAAAAAGGCCAAATATCAATCAGATTTTTGACCAGGTGAGCTGGTCTCAGAAGTATTCCCTGGGAGGTGGGCATTAGGACTTCTAAGAAGAGGAAGGCTGACTTCTAATGCCCCTCCTCTTCCTCTCCCAAAGTTTAAGAACATCAACAAAGGTCGGAAGACAAACATCATTGACTCCATGTTACGCATGTTAGAGCAGTACTCCAGCAACTTGGAGGACTTGATCCGGGAACGAACGGAAGAGCTGGAGGTTGAGAAGCAGAAGACGGACAAGTTGCTTACACAGATGCTACCCCCGTGAGTCTTGGGAAATGGTGGGGAAACTTAAGGTGTGTGTGTGTGGGGAGTCATAAGAGCATCTCCTCTTGGTGGATTTCCCACCACGCTCCTAGGAACTGAAGAGGGGTGCTTCTGTGGAGCGCTGTTGGGAGTTCCTCCCAATTCTTGGCTTGGAGGGGCTACTGTGAGCCAGTGATCCCCAACCTTGGATGTTCTTGGACCAAAACTCCCAGAAGCCTTTGCCTCTAGCTGTGCTGGCCAGGATTTCTGGGAGGCGTAGGCCAAGAACATCTGAGGACCCAAGGTTGGCAGCCACTGACCTAAGCTGAGCATTGGAGGGTTCGATGTATAAAGATGGAGGGTTCAATAAGTAAAGTAGCAGCACAGTCAATATTAGCAATCTTCTCCTTGTGCAGAATCAAGGGGGGGAGGTGTGAGAAGAGGGAAAATATCTGTGAAAAAGATTTTCCATCTGCTTTGTAAAAGTCTTAATAGACAGTTGCCAAGTAAGCACCCCAATGAACTTTCAAGCAAGTTCTATCCACTCATCTGAACTCAGAATGAAACATGACGTACTATGTCAGTGTGATGTCTTAGAGCAGAAAGCAGTGGTGAGGGACCAGGTGGAAGCCAGAAACAAATTCTCTCCTATTACAAACTGGGAAACCTACTTCTGTTTTCCTAAGCCGATTTTGAAAGACAACATGACTGTGCTGTGAGGAGTTTTGGCAGGGGTGAGGGAGATAGAGCAGTCATAGATTTGTATAATTAAACAGTGGCGTAGCCAGATGGGATTTTCATTACGCACCTTATTGATGTATATAGGAATGGAACGTACCGTTTGAAAATTAGTTCACCCAGCATTTCTCAAGAGAAGTTGATTATGATTCATTTTAAGTGCTCTTTAAAGATGAGTGGTTTCTGGTTGTGAAATGTTGCAAAATTTCAGTTACTGTGAAATCTGAGTCATACAACTGACCACAAGCATTTGGAAGCCTCTGTCATGGCATTTTAAATTGCATGGAAGTGCCATTCAGGAACACAACATTGTGAACACCACACTTTCCTGCAAGAGAGGAGGATAGTCTAAAACAGATACTGTACCTTGAAACAATTCAGCTTTGCTGCAGTTTGACTCACAACCTATCTTCCATTTCAGTTCACAATTAGTAATCACACAAGGGCCGTGGATTGATTCAGAGCCTCTGCCCACATACAGATAAGGTGTGGTCTGCATTTCAGCCCAAAGCCCCTCCCTCCTTCCCTCCCTTCCTCTGTTCCCACCTCTGTCAATCTTTTTATGGTTCACTGTCAAGCTGCTCAGTTTTTAAAAGTTTCACAATATTAGGAAAAAGGCATCACCTTTCCAAAGCATAATGTACACAGAAACACAAATATCATGGAAACATATGTAGTCTTATGTATTTCTTCAGGGTTGTTTTTATTTCATAACAATTTTTAATTTCTTTTCCTGGGTGGAGGTGATCTAGCACTAAAGTACTGTGTCAAGGGATCAATGCAATGACTCAGCACTAGACTTGTTTCTTCAGAAAATTTTTTGGGGACACTTGAGGAATGGATTGTGGGGGAGGGTGTTCCTGCAGTCTCTAAACATCATGCCCCAAATGCCTAGACAACTGCAATAGCAGGTGTTCCCCCCACCCAGCTTCTTTTGGAGAATGAAACAACTGATTACACAGAGAAGAGTTTATTTGAATCGTTCTGGTTTAAAAAAAAATAGAAGCCCCCAGTGGCAGAGAAAAAAATACTGCATCACGAACAAAACTGGTTGAACTGCTTTGATTGGCCCTTTGCATCATGTAAAGTCCATTTCTTTTTTATTAATCCATTTTATAACTGGAGCATGTAGCCAAATCCTTACTCTAAATTACTCTCCATCCACTGCAATACAAGGACACTTCAGAGCAAGTTCAATATCCCTGTCATCAGCTTGCATTTCTGAGCCAAGGCTACGGCCACATTAGTGAAATGTTTCCCAGTACAGTACTTCCTTATTGATGTTGATGTTTTTTGTGTGTGTAGTCAGATGACACAAGGCCATTGCCAAATCTTTTGGTCTGGCTCCATGCTATCTTTGCATCAAATCCTGCCTGCCAGGAGGCTTCTACATTTTTGTTGCAGGATGAATTGTGCAACAGTTTTACAGTGGCCTCCTGCACGCACGAATGTACCAACACTTTTTTTCTGGCAAACCGCCTTGTCTTGCTTCCACCAGTGATGTCATTTGCCAGTATGTCCCTTTCATTTAAAGGGACATATTGCAAATGACATCACTGTCGTAGCCCCTTCGTGTTTTTTTCTTGGGGACCTCATGGCAGAGCTGCAAGGACAACAAAGCCTGTCTACGAGTTTCTCTGCTGGAAGAGGCACAAATCCTTGTGTGCATCAAGGAAATGTTGCTGAAACATCAAAGTTTGGATAAAAAGGGGCCCCAGAGACATAAACAATCCAGATGGAAATATCCCTGCAAGGAAGCGTAGCCAGTCATATCACATCAAGTGTAGGGAAAGGTTGTGATAATTCAAAAACTTGTCAGAACGCACACCCTGGGATATATGTCACGTGACCGCAACGCGTGACAGCTCAGGGAGTGAAAGACATGAGAAAACAGGGGGACCTTTCGCTGGTGTGACCTTAGCCTGGGTTTCTCAGTGTGGATGAGGCCACGTCTGACATTTCTGCTTGTCCTCCCTTCAGTTCGGTGGCAGAGGCCCTGAAGACGGGAGCACCGGTGGAACCAGAGTACTTCGAGGAAGTGACTTTGTACTTCAGTGACATCGTGGGCTTCACCACGATCTCTGCCATGAGTGAGCCCATCGAGGTGGTTGATCTTCTCAATGATCTCTACACTCTCTTCGATGCCATCATCGGCTCCCACGATGTCTATAAGGTGCAGAGGGTTTGCCCGTTATGTCCTCCTCGCTGTGGGCGGAAGATGGAGAAAGGGAGAGTGGTGGCCGCAGGGCGAGTCGGGGGGGGCACCAACAAGGAGGTGGGGTGAAGAAAATGGGAGGATGCTGGTGCTGGGGGTGGTGACCAAGGAAGGGCCCTATGGCCTAGAATCTGGCTGGGACGATGTCTATAAGGTGCAGAGGGTTTGCCCTTTATGTCCTCCTCGCTGTGGGCAGAAGATGGAGAAAGGGAGAGCCGTGGCCGCAGGGCGAATCGGGGGGGGGGGCCCCGTCAAGGAGGGGGGGGGAAGAAAATGGGGGGATGCTGGGGTTGGGGGGGGGGTGGCCAAGGAAGGGCCATATGGCCTAGAATCTGGCTGGGACTTGCCTTTGAGCTGTTTGAAGAACACGGGCGGAGAAGGCGAAGGGAGGGAGGAAAAGATTTCGGGGACTTTTAAATGTAAATCCTGATAGTGGTTCTTTCTCACACATTAAAATGATAGTGCAAAAAAAAATCTTCTCAAGAGAGGGGAAGTGCTTTTAAAAATGGTCTCAAATTTCATGTACCGTGTGAAATAATTGCATGGACCGCTGAAAAGACTGCATTTGAATACGTGGTCTGTGGCACACAAAAAACCTATACCCAATGAATCCTGAAGGTGCCAAAAGACTCCTTGTTGTTGCTATTAATAAGTCATTGCATTGGATCTGTCGTTTCTGTCTTTCTGATCCATCAGTCTGTACGTCTGTGTTTGCTGCGTGTCTGCAATAAGAAAAGTCATCCATGCGCCACAGAGCCATTTTTCTGCACTGGAAAGGAACGCAAGTGAGACCTCGTGGGGCTAAAGGGATAGAGACGAGAGCTCTCACAGGCCTAGACCATCCTCAAGATGATGTCCTGGTGGCCTGTATCAAACAAAATCTCACCACCAGTGTTCCTAATATCAATGGAGTTTGTGAATCCTCGCTGTCCATCTCCTGAGTTTCATGGGTCATCTTGGAGCCCCGTTCTGTTCAACTCAATATCTGCTCATCTCCCACATTCGTTCCTCCCCCCCCCCACTCTTTCTGGCCAGTATTAACAGCTGCTGTTTTTTTGTGGACAGGTGGAGACCATTGGCGATGCCTACATGGTAGCTTCCGGGCTGCCCAAACGCAATGGCAACCGGCATGCAGGTGAGATTGCCAATATGTCGCTGGACATCCTCAGTGCTGTTGGCACCTTCCGGATGCGTCACATGCCAGAGGTGCCCGTACGGATTCGCATTGGCCTGCACTCAGGTAGGTGCTCCCAGAAGTTGGGCAGCTACACCGTGGAGGGCCTCATGTATGTTTCTCAAGGAGAGTAGCCCTATGGGAAGGTGTGACGGAGGAGAGGTGGGAGAGAGCCACTTAACTTGAAGAGAATTTGGTAAATAAAACACCAAATGTGACTTGTTTTCCTTGGCAGGGCCTTGTGTGGCTGGTGTCGTGGGACTAACGATGCCACGATACTGTCTCTTTGGGGACACGGTCAACACTGCTTCACGGATGGAGTCTACGGGCCTTCGTGAGTAGCTCTTGGTCAAGGCTGGGAAGGGTTTGTGGTCTGGCTGGCAGGATGCCGTTTCATCCCTATGTGGATGGAGCTTGACTGGCCACTTGGAGTCACTGTTGTGTGAGGCAGGTTGCACAAACAGTACACCTACTGGCAACAGCACAGACAGAAAGTTGGGCTATGTAGCCAAAAAAAGCAGGCTTTCCCTTTGGCCCAGGTATTTAATGTCCCAACCATAAGTGAGTTTAGATTGTGGTCGTTTTGCCATAAGCCTGTGGCCAGGTTTCCCATAAAATGCAATTTATTTTTCTGTGAGGAGAAAATGCTTTGGTCTAGAAACCCCCCCCCAGCCAGTGTTATCAGTCTTTTTGTTCTGTAAGCCATGACACCACCACTCCCCCCCCAAAAAAAAAGAGAGAGAGAGAGAGCTGGGAAGCTGTGCCATCAGAAGCAGAGCTAGTCAAAGCAGTAAAGTGTGTGAGATTCTCTTCTGACATCTTTTACAGCTTTGCGGGTTCCTTATTAACTTCCTTTCGTTGGGTGCCTGATAGCTGGGAGGAAAGCACAGGCCCCGTTTTCATGGTGATTGAGCAAACGTGGCCGTGGTGGAGCACGCAGCTTTGCAACTTGACAGTTTTCTCCTCTCCGGATTCTTCCTAACTGCACAGTTCCCATCTTGTGCGCCTTGGCCAGCTTGTGAGCCTGGCCAACTCAGAGCATCCCCATCTCACCCCTTTCTCTTGCCCCCCACAGCTTATCGGATCCACGTCAACATACGCACAGTTGAGATCCTCCATTCTCTCAAAGAGGGCTTCAAGTTGGATATTCGGGGGAAAACAGAGCTCAAGGTACCTGGGGCGGGGTGGGCTTCTCCATTCAGCTCCCCATGCTCTGTTCCTCCTTGTATTTACTCTTACCCTGAAGCTCCATTTGGAAAATCCAGAATTCAGCCTCAGGTTCTGGGGCTCTGTTGAGCAGCGAGGGTCTGTCCGATTTGCATATCTGCAAGGATGCTCTCCATGAAGTTGAAATTAACGCTGTTGTACCTGCGCAGTTGCACCAAAGCATCTAGGTATCCATCACACTCAGCGTCAACTTCTGAGTTGCTGGATAAAGTCAATAGAACCTTTTGGGGGCAGGGGCAGATTACGACCTTTAGAGGTCCTCAACACTGGTTCCCCTACAAACATAATGCACGGCAATCCCATAAGGTGGAAAAAAGCTATACAACAAGCACATTATAGGCATGAAAATACTGTAATTTAATTGTATAGCACATGGCAAAAAAAGATCCACCTATCATATGCAAAATGATGTGTACAATCAAATTACCGGCTTCTGGCCAAATCTTGCACTTTCACGCTTTGATTAACGTAGATGGATTTTGTCAGAATCTGTAAAGGGAAAAGCTCAAACAAGAGCTTAAAAACCCCTGGGGGACCTTTTTAATAGTGGCTGTTCTTCCTTCGGCTTGCACAGATAGTAAAGAGGCCATGGCTCTTAAAAAAAAAAACAGCTGCTCTTTTTATCCTTATTCCCCACGCAGCCTCCCAAAACACAGCACTGTAGTAAAAAAAATTTAAAAGAGCACCAAGCAATGATAATGATCGATCGTGTCATTCAAAACATGAATTTTCTTGCTTGGCAAGTCTTCATACTTTTTAGTTTTGACTGGTTCATACTTCATTACTTTAGGTAGGCAGGTGGTTTTCCTGGGGTTCTTGAGGGAAGGAGGGAGAGAGCAGAGAGTGAGAGAGAGAGGGGTGTGGTTTGTTAAGGAGGGGGCACCATTTGCACTGAAAAACACTGTGTCCTGCCCCCTTCCCTGGTGGATGCCCTAAGCAGGTGCTTATTTTACCTAATGGTTAATCCAGGGCTGTTCTGGGGCCACCTGCAGGTGCTTTCTGGACTGCTGCTCTTTAGGCCCTGGAGACATGTGGGTGTCTTCAAATCAGAACTTGGAAAAGTTTCTTTTTATTTGAAATTTCTTCCTTTCCTTTCCTTTCCTTTCCTTCCTTCCTTTCTGGAATGACACCTCCAAAAAATTCCCATTCTGGTGCGGAGATTCCGGAAACTGTAGTTCAAAAAAGGAAAAAAAAGTCTCAACTTTGCTTGAAATACCTCCCTCTACCCTCTTTTTCTCCACAGGGAAAAGGCATCGAAGACACATATTGGCTTACAGGCCGCCAAGGCTTTAATAAGCCCATTCCCACACCCCCTGACTTGATTCCAGGGTAAGAGGACGGGGACCGGAATTGATGTGACTCCGTCTGTGATGGAATGGGGGACCAGGGGCTGGCTGGGGGATCGAGGAACATGGGTGGCTCCTCTTGCGGTTTTCCTCCCATGGCCCTTCTTTGTTTCCAGTGCGAGCAACCACGGGATAAGCTTGGATGAGATCCCTGCAGAGCGAAGGAAGAAGCTAGAGAAAGCACGCCAAGGTGGAACATGAGGCTAGTGGTGACCGAGGTGAGATCAAGGCATGAAATATGTGGCCTCACCCCACCTGGAGAGAGAGAGAGAGAGAGAGAGAGAGTTAGTTCAGAACTCATCCCTCATCTTTTCTATCAAATAAAACCCGGTCTTTCCCCCTTCTCCCATGGGAAGACCAAAGCGTCTACCTTTCCAACTCTCCATTTTGTTACAGTGAGCTACTTCTTTTCCTCTAATAAGCTCAAGGCAGTAGATGGTTCAGCAATCCTTTGGGATGGGTCAGGATGAAAAGGTAGGATTGGCCCAGGGTTCCCCCAGTTGAGTTTCATAACCGTGGGGGGGTGTGTGTTGAACTCAAGTCCTCTTGAATTCTAACCACTTACACTGTAACCACTAGATCACATGTTGCTTAAACCTGCATTTTTCTTTTGGCCCACTTAGTCCAGAAACATTTCATCCACCTAGTCAACTTTTCCCCAAAAGCACCCTGGCTTCCTTATGCGATGCATCACATGAGATGGTTTGGCCTGTCACTTCATGATCACTCCGTACTCCAGGTCCTAGAGATACAGTCTAGAACAGGGGGTCCCCAAACTTTTCCAAAAAATGCAGACTGGGTGGAGTGGGGTGGGGTCTGTGTGCAGGAGGGTGGATTGTGCTTGCAGGTGGGCGTAGTGGGCTCGCGGGTGAATGTGGTGCATTCACGCACATGTGCGGGTGGGCGTGGTGCACTCATGTGCATATGCAGATGGGTGTGGCTCACCCATGCGCACTTGCGGGTGGGCAGTCACCTGTGCAGTGGGGCATAGACTTACTTCTGTAAGTCACAGCCCATGTATCTAACAGTCAGGGATTGTGGGGGGTCTTTGTCCTAAACGTATAGATGGTCAAAAATTGCTTCCCTCCAGCTGAGGACAGAGAGGCCTTTGGGATTACAAGCCTTTTGGTTTTAATCTTAGAACACGTTTTGAGTTTGACTGTATTTGTTTTTTAATCCTGTACCTTCCGTCCTTGGGAGAAAGAGGAGGGAGAAAAGGGATGGACATAAATTTGAGCTCAAGTTGTTGTCTCTGTTTAAACAGCTCCACAAGATCGGTGGCCTGCATTCGCTCGCACTTTCTGACTGATTCTGATGAGGCCTTTCGTACAGATGGCAGGCCAGTAGGCAGCAGGAACAACCCTTCTAGGAGAGGGGGTGAATCAGCCGTGGGCGTGGGATGGGCTCCCAGCCTCCTTTCCCCTCAGCTATCCTGCTTTAAAAAACACACACACAAATCAACCAACCCAGACAAACATGGGGTTATCCTCTTCACCTCCACGCACTGCATATCGTCCTCTGTGACTCTCGTTGGCGAGGCCATGTGATCCAGTTTCAGCCATCTAAGATTTGCTGTTCGCTCTCCATCGGGAAAAAAAAGACACAACAGCCAGCTGCCAAGTTGGGACTTTGGCCAACTCGGACTCTGCCCCTTGGGCTCTGACCTAAAGAACCAAGCCCACTGGGGGACTCTGGTCGACCCAAGACAGGCTGTGGTTGACTCTTCTTTCTCATTAAAGGTTCTGCTTCGTTCTTGCAAGGCTTGGATCTCGGACTGCCATATTAATAAGCAAGAGGAGACTGTTCCATTATCTCTCAAGTGGTGTTCTTGCTTTCGGAAAAGACCAGGGCTGAGCGATAGCGCTTGTCGTTCCTTTGTGGCAAATGATGCTTGAAGATGGAGAGGTGGCTCGAAGGAGTTACATGTCCCATCACCAGCAGTGGAGCGGTCCAGTTGCTGTCCCGGGCTTTGATGCTGCCCTGCCGATACTGGACCAGGAGACACAGGGAGGGGTTCAGGGTGAAGCAGCGAGAAGCTTTCTTCTCGGACAAAGCAGTTCAGCATGGGAGGCTGGCCTTTGAGGAAGGGACCTCATGCTCCTGTTTTTGGAGAGCAGGGCTAGATTCCATGCAGGGATTAAATTCAGAGGTTGAAAAGGTGCCCCATGAGATTTAATTGAGGATGGACCACTGCACAGAGCCACCACGTTTAGGCACCTTCCGATACCTCTTCGGGAATTCAGCTCACCTGGAGAACCACAAGGGGCAGTCTTCCCCCTAAAAATATTTATATGGCAGTCAAAAATTGGTTTTCTTAAAGGGCTGATTTCCTGATACAGAGACCCCTCCAAACCAAAGGCTTTTAAGAACAGCAGAACACCAAACCTGCGTTCGGGTGAGGACATTTACGAATGGATATATGCATCCCTTAGCTTTCCTGATGGAGGCCCTGAATCTCCCAAACAAGGCCTACACATAAGAATATACGTTTTGTTTGAAGATGTGTGTTTGATCTACATTTTAAACATGTCTGGTTGGTCCCCCCCTTTTTTTTTTTTTTGAAAAAGGATGGTTTATAATTATCATTTTCTTGTTAAGATGATGCTTGATCATTTTTAGTCTTCAGGCTCAAATAAGAATTTCAAAGGGATAGCTGGACTTAATCCTCAGGGCAACCTACAATCGTCTATTTTTCTCCGGGTTTCAAAAGTGCGCTAAATATGTCCAGTAAAACATTTCCACGAATTTAATCTGCAGGAAAATTTAAAAAAAAAACGTTCAAAGATATGTCACCAGGTGGTTTTCTTACAGTGATGTACGGAGACAACCTGTTTGAGCAGAACATCTGTATGAAAGATTTAAATTCTTTAAAGGGATGTTTGCTATTTGTCACCAGACAAAATTTCTATTTTTTTTTAAGGGGTAGGTGAGTGGTAAATGCCCACCGTTTCCTCACTGGACCTAGATTGGCCAGCCCCGAAACTTGTCTATCATTTTCATAGACTGTGTAAAAATTGTATTTTTTTCTTTCTTCTTATCATTGACAGTGTTTGGCTATTTTATTTGTGTGTGTGTGTGTGTGTGTGTGTGTGTGTATCTGTGGGAATGGGCTAAGAGACACATAAGTCACTGTATATATATGTATGCATCACTGTAACATTGACGGGGTGAATTGATATCCCACTCTGTATCATACGGCAATTCCGCTAGACATGTTGCAGCTGGTCTATTGATGACTGTAGGAGACAATGCAATTAAAGGATCAAGCTAGAGTCTCTGAGCTCAGTGTGCAGTGTCCTTTCTAAAAGAATATATTGTATTTTTGTCTCAAGACCCCTTTACGCTGCCGGACGACTGGTGGCCATCTTTTTTTGTGCACGTATGCATTCGGGGTGGGTGGGTTATGATGTGACTCATCTTTGAGCTGGTGGGGGGGATATCAATGGGATGGATCCCAGCTCTCCCCCCCAATCATGAGCCGGGAAGCTGATGGAGTGGGAGGGACCTAATCCGGCAGCCTCCTCATGAGCCAGAAGGGAAGGAAGAGCCCAAGTTCAGTCCCTGAACATGACCCCACCAGGAAAGAGGGCAGTATGATGGACAGCAGAAAGCCCCCCCCCCATCTTGAGCTGTGCAGAGTTTTGGCAGATAGGCCACAGGCCCTGTGATGCCTCAGGATCACATCCTAGGAACCGAAGCCCCGTAGTGCTTCTCTGCACAGCTCTAGTCGCTATCCTTGCCGAGGATCATGAGCTAGGGAGGAGGGAAGAAGGAGTCACGTGGGGCCACCCCACAGAAGGAGGATGGCATCGCATGCTGGAAGGTGGCCAGGAGCTATTATGGGGGGGAGGCTTGGGTGGGAAAGTCCTCTGCAAAAGTCTGGATCTGTGGAGGACTGCTCCCCAACTCTAAGAAAACGGGGAAGGCAGCAAGGTTGACAGCACACATGCTGCAGCTTGTAGCCTGCACATCTGTTGCCCCATTGTGTGGTGTGGCTTCCCCTCTGGGTTCAGGTGGATCGTGGGCGGCAGGAAGGGGCCTGGATGTGGCCGAGGGCCATGGCTTCTTTTCCCCGGGAGGATGTCAATATTCGCAAACTGAGGTTGCAGGCCCTGGCGGAGCAGCTGCCGAAGACGGCATGAACCGCCATGGAGTGGCTGGACTTCCCTGTGGCCGGGTGGCTTTAGGAAGTGGTCCAGAGCATGTGTGGGAGATGAGGGGTGGCTTCCGGCCTGGCAGAGACGGCCTGGCTCCTTTTGAAATGTGCTACGCTCAGCGGGCATGGCAGCCTCTGTGCTCTCCAGCTGCAGCGCCTGTAAGGGGTGGGCAGGGGTGAAGGGCTCGCCCAGTGGGCATCCTCCGGTGCGGAGTTGCAGGGAAAGGGGCATTGGGTTAGGCTAGACGGTGTCCCTGCTTCCTTTCCACGAGGGGCATGCGGCTGGACGCGTGGCTCTTGGCTGGCAAGGTGCCCCCCCTCCTTTCCATGCTTTAGGAGCAGGCTTTCGGCAAGCGTGCTGCCAGAGCCGGCTCCCCTGGTTTGCAAACAGAGCCCTCTTCCTGCCATGTCAGACCCACGCCCTGGGCACTCCGTTGTTTTCACCCATCTATCACACAGCAGCTCCTTTTCCTTTTGAAGAGGTGTCCTCCTCCTCCTCCGCCTCCCTCTAGGACCATTTTCAGACTTTCTGTGCGGTGGCCCTGGCAACGGACACGTCCCTTTAAGCTTCTGGGTCGGGTGGGTTCTTTTCAATGGGGTGGGGTGTCTTTGGCTTGGTTTTCCTGTGTATTTCTGTCTGCTGATCAATAAACAGAATAATTTCTGCCTGCTTTGGTTCTCTCAGACTGTGTGTGTAAATATAACAGAGAGAGAAGGCTGGGGGGGGGACCCTGACTGCACCAGGTTCACTAGGAGGGGATTAGCCTTCAGGACACAAACTGGAGCTGGGGTGGGTTTTTCATGCCTGCTGCAGAAGGGCCAATCATAGTGGTGCCTCGCTAGACAATGATAATTCGTTGTTTAGCGAAATCATTGTCTAGTGAAAAGCACTTCCCCATTGGAATGCATTGAAACCTGTTTAATGCGTTCCATTGGGGAGGAATCATCGTTGTCTAGCGAAGATTGGCCATAGGAAAGCCACTTTGCGAACCGCCAATCAGCTGTTTAAATCGCTGTCTTGTGAAGCTTAGGGCCCGGAAACACCTGTTTTGAGAGCACAGAGGGAGCTGTCAAAATCGTCATCTAGCGAAAATCGGTTTGCGAAGCAGGGACCAAACATTGTCCAGCGAAATTCCCCCATAGGAATCACTGTTTTGGGAATCGCTATAGCGATCGCAAAAAGCCAGTGTCTAGCGAAGAAACTGTCATGCGTGGTAACTGTCTAGCAAGGCACCACTGTACTGCACTCTGCCTTCAATGGCCCTTTCCCTTTTAATTATGCAGCTGTGCTTACCTGCTGTACGGGGATGCCTGGCCCTCATTGGCCAGTTGTGTTGCTGGGCGGCGTTTAGGGCTGTGCTGGCTGCCAGCTGTTGCTGAGCAGCTGTCATCCCAGTTTCCGTGGCCATTTTTGTGGTTTTTAAACCCACCCACGCCCACAATCTTCTCCCTAGGTCAGCTGAAGGTCCTCCACTCCTGACCCGGCCAGAGTTCGGATCCCACCTCGCCTCCGTTGGCCCACGTCCAGCTCTGCCAGCCTCAAACCAACCTGGCTAGTCAGGATTGTGCCCAAACTCGTCCGCCTTTTTTAATTTTTAAACTGCAGAATACCCACCCTTTGGATTTTGCTTTCAGGAAGTCGAACTGCCCTAGATGTGTGTGTGGAGATAAACCCTCACAGTCCACACCCATGCCAGATTTTTTTGGGGGGGAAAACACTTCTTTTAGTTAGAACTACAAAACTTTATGGGCTTTTTAAAAAAAATCTATGAATTTTATTCACTTTTTCCCCAATGGGCTTTAGCTTTATGTCACAATTTTAGTGTAATAACATATCGTCCTCACGGAAATAAGTACCTGACTCTTTTTAAATGTTAAAAATCCATTTATTTGTAAGTTTTCCTCAAAAACGCGACTCGGCCCCCTTATCTTTTTGAGACTGAAGCCAAGGTCCTTTTAAGCAGGTGAAGGAATTGCAATAAACCTCACAGCGCCGAGCGGGCGATGGCGTGGGCGTGTGGACCTCCCTGAACAGAACATTTGATTTCACAAGCCCATGTTGTGAAGCAAGGCGGTGTTTTGTTTTTTTAAAACCCTCCTCCAAAGCCTCTAGGGTTATGCAACAGCTATAGGACTGTGGGGATGTTTCGTTTCTTCATTTCCAGGGTTTTTGGGATTCCCCCCAAACCAACTGTATAAAAACCCTCAGGCCTGTGCCATTTTGTGTTTTAGAAAACAAAAAGGAGAAAAGAAAAAAGACATTGGCGGAAGCAAGGGATAGTTAAATAATTCATTACAGGGTTTTTGGGGTGGGGCTGTTTTAATATGTAAAATAGGGCAGGGCTTGGTACCTATTAAAAAGCAGCTGGTGGAGACGCATTTATTGCAAGCTCTTTCCTGTCTCGTTTGCCGTCGTGTGCCCGTTAAGACGCTTTTGATATAGAGCCTCTGTCCGAGGGCTTTCCGGGCATGTGAGATTAACAAGGAACGGCTTTATCAGTGCTACCTGGCAAAGTGTTTCCATACCTGAGAGGGGATTTGAACCCAGGACCCTGGCGTCTTAGTCCAACCCTCTATCTCCTTTTCCATGCTGTTCTCTATTTTGCATTTGTAAAAACTGCAGAGGAATAATAGGGTATCCATTGAGCTGTAGTGAGCAGAGCGACGAATTAGGATGCATGAGATCTGGGTTCAAATTACTGCACAACCGTGGAAACCCCCTTGACTCGTTCAGCGGTATCTCCTCCGTTCAGCAGGTCACGCACCTAAAACCAAAACAAACGCATGCAGCTTTTGCCTCACTTTTGGCTCATTCTCTCTCACGAGCTAGGTTTTGCATCTGGCAAGGGTTCCCTTTTTGCTTTGGCGGCCTCTCGTTAAATGGCTTCGCTCATCAAGTTCCTTGAACATCACGGTGGATGAGGAAATCTAAGGTACAAAAGGTTGCAAAGCTGGCAGCCAGTCCAAAATCATCAAGGTAGGGCTTGCTGAGGCCCGTCTCCCTCCCGTGCAGGAAACATGACACATGGCCTTTTTTAATTACCACCGTGACCCGGAAAAGGGATCAAATGTGTCCCTCAGTGGAAATGCCTTGACCCTTTCCTGGTTATATCCCATCAGTGCTCAAAGCCCATTTTTTCAGAGAATTGTGCTTAGAAGCAACCTTCTGCTTCTGAGCCACATCTGGTCTGATGAAAGTTTGAATGAAAACATACAGTTCTGGAAGAACAAAAGCCGCTTTGTGCATTTGGCGATGCATCGGGGTTCATTATGTTCTGGCCAACCCAACCAGTCCTTGCCCTGGAAAGAAATTTGGGTCAACGAAATCCTTCCTTCCCTCACGTTCATTGCAAAAAATTTGACATTTGTTGTCTTCTGGCAGGTCTAAGGGGAAAGAAGCTTGAGAAAGGCATGCACAGAGTACAATTTTTTTTTAAAAAAATCCTGTTTATTGACAGAATCCGCAGATTAGAAGGCAGATGGGGTACAGAACCCAAATCAATCTGGCTCCCTGACTCTAGAAATGATAAAGGCGAATTGTCAAGGTGTATTAAGCAAATAAATGTTTGTACATAAAGTGTCAGTCTCAATAGAGAAATTGTTTATTCCTGAGTTATCTTTACGAAGATGTCCCTGATTGGTTTTGAAACCCCTCATTTGCTTTTGTCCTGTTGATCACCAAGGCTAAATAAGCATTTTTGCGTTGTCTAATGGTTTATATCCCCTTCATGGATGGCTGCCTTGTTGTGGCGAAGGGGCTTGAGTAATTCAGAGGAGCTATGGGCTATGCCGGGCAGGGGGCTTGAAGACAGACAGGACATAGTGGAGAGTTCCGACAAAAAGCGATCCACCTAGAGCAGGAACTGGCAAGCCACTCCAGTACCTTTGCCAAGAAAACTCAGATATGCAGAGGATACCA